AGCTCCAGGCAGGAGTGGTCCCTGGTGGAGAGCAAGGCCTGGAATTCCAGGCGGGAGGTCTGTTTACAGCTGTAGTGAGGGCAGCCGAGGCTGGGATAGAGGTCTGTGAGCCAGACACAGCTTAAGGGTGGTCTGGACACTCTTTAGATAAGGCCATCTAGGGGCTGTGAGCTCACTAAAGTTCAAACACCAACTCACAGTTGGTCACGACCAGGAGTCTCCCCAGCCCCCATCCCTTCCTCCTCTTAATCCAGTAAATTCCATGCTCACCTCTGTAGAGTTTTGGCAAGTCTCAGGTTCTTGTGGTGCCTCTGTCTCTTGGGACTTATTCACTTTGCCTGCACCTCATGACTCCAATACATCTCTGCATAAAAAAGTGGGTTAGGGAAACACTGTTCTGCAAATGTCCCACTAAGTGACAAAGCAAGCTACCTTCTTGAGCCAACAGTGTTCTCATTTGTAAAAAAAGGGACATCATTCCTTTTCCTAACAACCAATCCCAGCCCGTATACATGTCATTTAAAATATGAATCTTAACAAAAGAGGCTCCCATGCCACTTTGGGACATATCACAGAAAAGTGAAAGCACCAAAGAAAGGAATTAAGACATATCTGGGGCAATAACAACTTTATTACATCTGCCACCGTCATTTTAGGGCTGATAAACAGCAACAAACAATAAACCCTCTACTATACCCCCCTCGCTAAAGATATACAATTCTCAGTGGGTTGTGGTGGCTCATGTCTGTGATTCCAGCAGCTCTGGAGGCTGAGACAGGAGGATGGAAAGTTTGAGGGCAGCCTCAGCAACATAGCAAGGCCCTAGCAACTTAATGAAACCCTTTCTCAAAATAAAAAACCAAAAAGGGCTGGGGTTGTGGCTCAGTGGTTAAGCATTCCAGATTCAATTCCTGGTAAGTCTTATGCCTGCCTCCTTGTTCCGGCCTCTTGCTTTGCCACCATAAAGAAAAATATCATTCAGGTTCATGTGTTTACCATACCCTTTTGTCTACATTTTTACCAAACATATATGCAATACATTATATGATCTTGTTTCTTAACTCTTTTTTTTAGGTGTAGATGGACACAACACAATGTCTTTATTGTTATGTGGTGCTAAGGATCGAACCCGGTTCCCGCCTGTGCTAGGCGAGTGCTCTAACGCTGAGCCACAATCCAAGCCCTTTTAACTCTTTTATAAGTAAATTATATTCTATTCTGTGATTTGCATTTTTAAAAATATAACTGAGCAAACTGTATCTACACTGATTGTCACTTTCAAATATTTCAATCCATATCCCATAGTCATATCAATTGTGTTGATGGAAATTTGGTCTACTTCCAGTACTTACTATTATTTTGCTATCAACATTCTCATGACCATCTCCTAGAAAATGTATGATTGTTTCTCTGGGGTGTATGCCTAGGCAGGGAATTGCTAAATCTAGACAGTGGTCCTCCCTGTTCTGATTGCCAGCAAATGTTGCTGCTCCCCTTCCCCCACCTCAAGAGGAGGACCTCCATGTTCTCAATCTATGGATCTTTAGGGGGGAAGAAAAATTATCAAGAGTAGGGAAATGGTAGAGTTCCCAGCCCAAGATCTGTGACTCTCAGCCATCACCCTGGGTCACCCAAAGAGGGAGCATTCCTATTGACACAACTGAGCATGAGTGTGAGATGGGGCAGGGAGGGGTCTCAAGCTGCAGCACAGCTGACGTCACAGAATCCACTGTGATGTCACTGCTGAGCTGTGGAACATGGAAATTCAGACACAACTCAACAGACCATTCTCAGGTTGAATGGTTCTTTATTTAATCTGCAGTAAAGGAAGCTGGAATAGGCTCTTTTGGGATAGTCCCCTGATCCCTGGGCCCCTCTTAACTTCTGGCTCTGGGTTGTATTTCATGGGTTTCAAAGGTCATCGTCTCCATGACCTCGGATGTCACAGAACCAGTGAGGTCCAGACCCTGGCCACTCTCTGCTGTCTCCATGATGGCCTCCATGGTGGTCCTCTCTTCTCTCTTAGCTGTGACGTCCATATCTCTGCCGCGCACTGAGGCCACCCCTTTAGTGGTAAGGTTGGCTTTGACCGTCTTCAAGAAAGAGCCGATCCTGCCCATTCTCTTGTTGGCCGAACCGGAGCTTGTGGTTGATAAGCTCCTCCCAGACTTGTGGGAGCTCCTGGACTCCTTGGTGATGGGGGAGCGACTGATGCCTTTGTGGGTACTGCTGTGCTTGCTGCCTCCGGGGCTGCTGCGACTTTTCCCCTTTTTATCCTCTCTAACAGTTCGGCGGCCAGTTGACTTCCGGGAGATCTTGTCCCCTGTCTTGTGGCGACCTTCACCCCTGCGGTGATGGGTACTCCTACTCACAGTTCTGTCCTTTTCTCTCCTCTCCCTTCTTTCCCTCCTCTCCTTGTGGACTTCTGTTCTGATGTGGGAGCTTTGCTGCCGTTTCGCCTGGCCACCCTTGTCACTCAGCCTGGTTGGGGTGAAAGATCCTGCTGCTGAATTCTTATCTGGTTCTCCAGCAGTTTTCCCAGCAGCAGGTTCTACCCCAATATTCCCCGCGCCCTCTGGGGAGAAGCTGGAGGATGTGCTGGGAATACCTTCCAAGGGCTTGTTTGCAGCCAGGCCTACCTTAAGGCTCTTAGGGGACCCCTTGGCAGAGCCTGCAGTGGCCACATGAGTTTTGCTTCCTCTTGCACCAGTGAGGGTCGCATCAGCTTTGTCTCCGCCTGCCTGTCCAGAGCCTGCTGCTCCCTCTGTCGCTGACTCTTTGACATGCTCTTTAGATTTTGTTCTTGGGATGGCTATATTAGTCTTGGATGTGGATTTGTGGGAGCCATGCTGGATTCCCTCCCCCCCAACATAAGCAGCAGAGGTGGCCCCACACACCTCAGAAACCATGTGGAGGCTCCTGATGCTAACCTGGTCTTGATCCCCTTTAGCATGTAAATCCCCAGCCCCCAAACTTGTCTTGTCCTCTTCCTCAAACGCAGGCATGCAGATC